TCCAAGCACCAAATGAAGCTTTTCCTGTCAATGGAGCATTTATTAGATCCTGAGTGGAACCTCTGGAGTTTAATAAAAGAAAACTCATGCTGCGATATTTCCTTTTGAAAGGGCACTTCAGGGCTCTCTCCTCCAACTGGATTAAATTTTTTATGGAATGTGTAGGAATTTACTTGCTGTGAAGGCTGGTGTTCCTCTACAAATTTGTTCGAAATTGGCACAAAATTTTGATTTGTTGTGAGGAAGAGAACACTGACAGACAGACATATCCACAATATGTGCTCTCATTTGCTACCAATAACCAGGCTAAAAAATTTCTGTATACCCTAGGGATGCAGCAAACACTACGAGAGTGTGCACATTTGAGAAACAGAGCAACCTAGAGATGCCTCTGATCTAGACCAGGATCAATCCCAGATTCAGCAGGCAGTGAAACAGAATGATGATCCCCTCTTTTTCCGTCTTTCGCTCTCCATCCCAGTCTCTTCCCTTGGCACTTCTGTTGCGGCTTGTGGCCAGGAGGCCCGGCCACAGGTCCTGCTTGCGGGGTGGTCTCCCCGGCCAGCCCACAGCCGGTGCAAGTTCAGAAAGCAGTCAGCAGTGCAGCAAGTCGAGAACTCAGTAGGAGTATTTTAGACCAAAACTTATGCCCCTGATTTACAGTACCTACACAGTCTTCCTATGCAAAGGGTATGGGGAGGGGGTGAGATGTAGCGGGTAATTCTGTTCTCTTCAGCTGGGCTTCAATTTGGCAGGAGGAGGTATTCAGTAGACCGTACAGCTGGGAGTTCACGTAGCTCAATCCATGGGGCCTCCAGCTCAGATGCAAAAGTTCAACATGGGTTTATGAAACATTTAATTAACCTACAACAAAACAGCTTTCAAAGAACAAATGAAGATTGGGAACCAGACCTAGAAGAAGCCAAGGATTGAGCAGCAGGGGCACCCAACTGGAAAGTCCAGCATTCAGATTTATTCAGTAGACCGTACAGCTGGGAGTTCACGTAGCTCAATCCATGGGGCCTCCAGCTCAGATGCAAAAGTTCAACATGGGTTTATGAAACTTTTAATTAACCTACAAAAAAACCAGCTTCCAAAGAACAAATGAAGATTGGGAACCAGACCTAGAAGAAGCCAAGGATTGAGCAGCAGGGGCACCCAACTGGAAAGTCCAGCATTCAGATTCTGGGCGCTGTAGATTACTGTGGTGAATATTAAAAATCGCAGAAGATGTGAAGACCAACACCACCTTTTGATATTCTTGAAAATCATTTTGCCTTTAAAATTTAGCTCATGTTCCAGTATTCAGGGTTTCCGAGGCAGCATTTTCAAAAAATATGACCACCTCTATCAGAATGAAAGATACTGGAATAACTGATTTTAATGTAGGTGTCTGCTAAAATCCTGGCACCAGTGTTGAGTATATACACATATATATTCATAAACCTAGGTGTGAATAGCCGTTTTCTTTAGATTTGCTCTTTGTTAACTAATTGAAGAACACTAAAATAATCTGTGCTGAGAAGAAAAGTCATCCAAGTTTTGTACATGCTGAAACAGTACTGCGAACGCTGGCGTATCATATAAACACCTCAACTGAATGTCCTTTTCCTTCTAAATTCAGATTAACATCTTCACAGTGAAGTATGAGATCGAAGTAATTAGTCAGAGCTTGGTGGTTTATTTGCCACAACATATAATCTTTCAACCCCAGCTGTCCTTCCCTCCCCTTGTTATGAATGCAGAATACTATGCTTAAGAATGAGAAGGTGGTGAATAACAAACACAGAATGATTAATAAGAAGTGTTTCCATCAAAACTGATATTGGAATAAATGATTAAACCCTTTCATAATCAACTCATTTATTAAAGTGAATGTTTTAAAGTGAAAGCTTGTCATTTATGGTTGTTTTCGCAATGGGCAGTTATTCAAGTGTTTACTTCAAGAGTACTTTTTTGTACTTTGGTAAATCAAGAAATATTGATTTTGAGCAAGTCGTTGATTTTATTGTCAGAACAAATTTAGCTTTGAGAATTGATTTTATTAACCTATTTCATAAGTCCCTCTAAATGCACAATTTGTGAGCAACCCACATTCTCTTGATGTAAATGCCATTTGTAATTTAGCCAAAAAACAATTTAAGTGGAGATGGGCCAAATTCATTTTTCATTTATGTATATGCCAGTCTGGAATAAACTCAGCAGTCTTGCAAGGATATGCAATTGTTTCTTACTAAGTGAAAATATCATTCCTGTATTTTCGTTGATATCATTTCAGATTAACATGCTTGACTTCAAGGGGATATGATTATTTCATAGAGTTTTCTGGTTATCAGCAACAATTTTAGAAGATGAGCAAATTTGATACAGTTTCTCTTCAGAACATGCATTCCTGGCATTTATTTCATGGCTATGTTTTACTGTGTATGTGAAAAAACTCAGAAGTATGGACTTTGTGAAAAATTTCAAGAAGTAGATTCACTTAAACCCTCACAAAACAAATCCTCCAAACAAGAAATACTTCCAAAAGCTATATGTACATCTGTACTGCAGATTGTCCACAATGTGACTTCACTTAACAGTGACAGAAATTTAAGTATTACTATACTTAGACTTTAGAAAATGAGACTGGCCACTTTTTAGGGATACTTTAGTATGTCATCATTTATTATGTTGTTTAGAATATTTACTGGCATGCATTCACAATTTATCTGAAGATTATTTCAATCTATATGATAGGAATAGATCTCGATTTCCCAAAATGCTGAACATTTGCAAAATTTTGAAAAATGTGCAGCAATAGCTTCCCGTAGGTGCTGCAGCATGGAAGCACCTGGATTTTTCAGGGGAAAAAAAAGTTTATTTCTGTTTCTATGAAAAGAAGGCACTACCTGAGCTGAATGCTGATGTCCTGAGAGCAATATGAAGAAGAATTTGTCCTATGACATGCTTTTTCTTATCTACAATTTTTCAGAAGCCCTTTCTCCATGGCATTGGAACTATGTAGTAGAGTAAGATAAACTGAACCTGCTTCTGGCAAGTAGCCAACCTACCAAAAAATAGGATTTTAGGGCTATTTAAATCTACTTACAAATTTGGCGTATTTAATTTCAGCCCCAAAAGTTCACCTTTTAAATTTAATTTTAATTTAAAAAATAATTTTATTTCTGCATTCGCCAGCCCCCCTGCTGCAACTTATTTACTAAAATGTATTTTTATTTTTTAAAAGGAATCGAAAACGATCAAAACTCACCATTTCAGATCTAGTGAGACATTTTGTCACTGAGCAAAATGAGCAAAAATTTGAACATAAATACACAGCCACACATTATATGGCCAGTAAAGCAATTATTTGTACAGCCTGAGATGCAGCTCACAAGGAGAAGGCAGGGAGCAGATGTTGCACCTGGCACCGTTCCCTGCACCTCAGAGATCTCTAATCTGGTTATTGATGCCCCAGGCAGTTGTTATATGTATCCAAGAAGCAAGCAAATGTGCTTCAGTCAGCTTCAAGTTCCATCAAGCATTGCTCCTGCCAGCTGGTATGTAGCAACGGAGCGGAGAGTCAGTGCCTCCAGCTGAGGAGCACTGCTTGCTGCAGTGGGTTCCTGCTCATCATCTGCAGGACTGGCTATCCTGCAAGAAGAGGTGCCAGAGCAGAAGCCAAGGTGCCCTGAAGCCATATGATCTTAAGACAATTACTAGGCTAGTTTAAGCTTGGGTTTAGCACAGCTAAGCCAGCTGACCCTATGCTGCTCTACATGGAATAATTACGTGTCTGCTGGCCCAGAGATGATACAAAGGCCTGTCCATCCCAGAACTGGGAACAGGGAAGCTGGGGTTCCCCTCCCCACGTCTGCAAATACTTAAGGTGCAGTGAAAGGTGAAATGGAACAAGGACACATTTTTCTGTTTTGACTCTAGTAACAAAATCCCTGAGTGCTTCTGTGACAGCAGCATTACATTCCATCATTTATCCCTGGGAAATTTGGTAAGAACCACTCAAAACATTGACTCCACATTCTTCGTGTATGTGAATACAAGACTATAGTCATCTGCTATTACTCAAAGTCTACTTAGAAACAAGGAGCAAGCTCTTACCATTCTTGCGCAGTGTATTTTAACTGTGACTTTCCAATTAGGAAGGACTGAGACAAGGGCAGAGGGAAAATGAAATGCAAAATTAACTGGATCCTAGTTATTAGCTTACACAGCCCATAATATAACTTTAGTATGTTACTTGAATGCCTCAAGATTTTTTTCAAGGACAGCTTTTCCCCCGTTTTGAAGCTGATTGATTAATCCAAGTGTTTACTGGCAAAGGCCAATCCCTTCCCTGTGCTATCTCTAAGTGTGTCTCACTGACTAGTCAAGGGTACCATTTATGTTTCTTCATGTTTATCTATGTATCTTTTTTAGCATAAACTAGAGATTTTTGGTAAGTGTCTTTTAGTCAAATTTCTTTTACACTGGTCTTGAAAGAAGAACTGAAAAGCACTTTGAGAAACGTATTGAAATGCAGTAGCTTCACTGCAATACCACTTCACTGCAAAATTACTATTGTGTAATTACTTACTGTAATGCTCCTCCATGATTTAGAACAGACTTAGATGTAAACAGAATATGTATTTTTTCCATTTAGTAGTTCAAGCAAATCAGTCTGTGCTGGACTAAAAGAGGGTACTCTCAACATCTGATAAACTCCTTAGAAGATACATCTCAGAGTAGCGAGCAAGTTTCTAAAGCATTATGTACTTTTTATATAAGTCCCTCTACACATTTATATGTCACGTCCTGGAAAAAAATCAGGTGTATAGTTTTGCATTTATATGGCACACCTTAAAATAACCATGTGAACAGAAGATCCACTCCACACTGTGCAGTCCAGAATTACCTGATTCATCCAGCATATTCTGATATATAACCCTTGTACAAGAAACTAAGTTATCTGTCTCCACAATGTGTAGAAAAGTGACAACACATGAAAACCAGGCGTCTACCTGAGTGATGTCCATTCCAGAGTCACAGCTCAATGGCTGGGTTGATGTGAGGCCATTCGAACCTATTATTGTTGTGATCACGCCGTTCTCATCAATTTTCCGAATCATGGTGCCGTCAACAAAGTAAATAAATCCGTGCTTATCTACAGTGATACCTGGACGAAGGGAAAGGGTAAAAAAGAGTGTTAGTACTGACATTATCTAGATTAAAAAGTATAAGCTTAAAACGTGTCCTCTCCTCTTGGACTCTGAAAACCTGCTGATTAAAAAAAGTATGACTTTTTTTTTTTTTTCCTACCTGTTGCCTATTTGAGGCTTATATATAAATTGTATACGGGAAGATCATACCCATAAATCAGGCTGTCTTTGACTTACAGAGAAAAAGGGAAGATATGAGGAAGAAACAGGACAAAACAGCAGAGACTTTGCTTGTAATTTAATTCTATACACATAGAATTAGGGTCTTCGGTAACTTTGCTTCACGTCCATCACAGAGTGGGACAAGACTATTTTTTATAACAACTTACCTTACAAGTTGATTTTTCTTCATTTTCACTTTCTTAATTCTCACCCAGAAGGAATTTTTTTTTGCTACTCTACTGTCTGAATTAGCAGAGCATCTGAGCAAGGAAGAAGCGCCCACAGAAAGTGAGAGAGACTTCTGTTGTGATCTGGGCTGAACATACAAACGGTGCAAAGCAGGCAGGAGGAGTATCTGTGCTGCAGAATGTATTGCAGTGCAGTGCTGCCCAAGGCGATGGTCACGTACTGCAACCAGCCTCACGACAACAGCTAGAAAACGTTCTCCCGCTTCTGGATCTGCAATAGCTCAAGCACCAGTGCGCTGCACCGCACAGGAGGGATGGAGCCGGAAACAAATGCGAGGGCTACGCGAAAGGAAAGGTCACGGTCTTCTGCATTTCAGTGGGGAAACTGCGGAACGGAGGGCTTGCTGCCTTCCACCAGCAGCGTCACAACTCATGTCACAACTCATGGCTGTCCCTGGTCTGCCTCGGTCCAACGCTTTCGCCCCAGTTCTTCCTGCATTCGATTTGTTAGACTTTTCTATATTGCATGAATGGTAAGTAAGATCTTTTTCCCTGAAATGTTAAAAATATAGCTAGAAAAGCACTTCTATTCATGTTAGGTTCGTGAAATCCTTTCTACCAAAACCGCTCGATTTTTTGCTTTAAACTACTTCATAATTTCCCATTTAAAGTTGCATAACTTTGCAATTATAGCAGCTGCTGTGCACAGCCAAGCTATTTTAATAATGAATTTATGTTCTGCTACACAGAAATGAAAGGCAGAGGACTTGAACAGATGGTTTGGACAGTGGCTTATACGGTTCTTGATTTTTGTCCCCTGCATTTAGCACAACTGAAGGCTGCATGTACTCCGAGTTTCCAAAACACCTGTCTGCACGCCCGTTAGGATCTCACACAGCAATTCCACACACCATTAAAAAAGAAAAAAAAACCCCAAACTGAATTCCCTCACCTCTCAGCCCCATTTCCTTATACTTAATTTAATTTCTTTAAATATATAGGAGCAGTTGTAGCCGGGGGGCAAGGCAGAGCAAGCAGTCTGGGGGGCAGGGGCAGGACCAGGCGGCCCTGATGGGGAACATCCATCTCCCATGGGGCTGGGAGATGGGGGCACAGTCCCCCCGGCCCCTAAGTGAATCCGTACCTTGCAGCTGGTAACGCCTGGGGATTGAGTTACATCCGCACTTGAGTGCAATATGCTTTCCCTTACAGTGTTAACACCCAGACAAACCGCCCAGGGCCGCTTCTTTTCTAACAGAAAGCAGGAATAACGTCCATGCCAGTTTTTCTGTGGTGGCCAGGAGGTTAGCGAGGGCTCGGCTCTCCCCTCTGCCGGAGCAGGCTGACCTGAGCGAGGCTGCGAAGGCCTCGCAGGGGACAGGCTTTCACCCTGTGGCACCGTGATGGCACCCTGCCATCATGGCCCCCACCGCCCAGTTCCCGCCCAGAGGTGGCTCCTCACCGCAGGTGACGTTTAAGCACCTTGCAAAAGTCTGAGGGTGTCACCCCAAAAAAACCTAAAGGCCACGGTGGTTAACTTCAGCATCTCGTGCTCCTACTACGTCCAGCTTTCAGGCTATCTATCGGCGGAGTGTTGGTAGCTGAAATTAGTTCTTTAAATTGTCAATTCAGTGTATTCATCCGGCTGTCAACCACCATTAGAAGAGGGGTATTCACCATCCTGTCACCTTCTCCATCCAGGGCAAAAAATGTCCACAGACTTATGAAGTGCTGCAGGGTACGGGGTTAGGCTACGTCACTTCGTTACGTGAAATGGCTGATCACTGAAACATCCCATTCTCCAGGATGGATGTCATCTGGGGGATTGAAATCACCTGGGGGACTGGATGGGGGGGAAATCTGTGAGGTTATAAAAAGGCTAAAGGAAGAGCAGCCATCTTAGGGCCTGTCTCCCTGCTGGCCTGTGAGCTTGTGGCTCGTGCCCCCTTGGTACTGGCTCCCCCAGAGAACCATTACTCTTTAGAGAGTGACGGTGCTTTTGGAAACGACAGCATGACTGGCAAGTTCACAGCTGTTTGCTTCCGAGAGGTCCAATTCTAAGGCTGAAGGTTTGAAGGAGAGCTGAGGTAAAAGGGTACATCTGAGACGCAAAACGGTTTGATGTTGGGAGGGTGACCTGTGTGTTCCCGTTTTTGGGAGAGAATGCCTCTGTCTGTCCCTCACGCATGCCGAAGAGACTTGGCACCGAAGAGACTTGTGTGTGCAAAAGGCTAGAACTGGGGGTGGCCGCAGGGCTGGCGCCGAGGGCCGGCCGCCGCTTCGGAAACAAAGGCTTGGTGTGTGAAGCAAACTGCAAGGTCTCTTTTGATACAACTGAGCTACTAAAAATCCACCCTAAAACTCCCACCTGAAGCAAAAAGAAATCCTGCCTGGTTATTAAAGACCATATGAACAATTAATATCTAACTCTGATGAGGTTTTTCCAAATGTTATCCTGAGGGAGCGCGCATGACAGAAGCTGACAGAGCAAACCACACTGAGAGGACTGCACCCTCTGTGGCGGAGCAGGAGTCTGCGGAGGTTTTCGTGATGGTAGTTCCCAAAGGCCCGAGTCATGATCCGCAGTTTAGTCTGTACATGGATGAATCTTCTCTTCAGAAAAAGGGAAGGGCTGTGTTGACTCTGCTACCATGGTTTGGGGCCACAGAGCAGGTGGAGCTGGGCTCTGATGTATGTCCTGCTGGGATGCTCAGGGGTTCCCATCCTCCTGCCTGGGCTCGGTCCTGCTCCGATCAGCTTTATGGTGCGACGCTGACGCATGCCGAGGGATTATTAGTAAATGGAAAAGCTGCTAGGAAATTGTTCTAGGGTTTTTTCTTCAGGGATGTGTGAAGGTTGGGGACAAAAGTTTCTTCAGTCCCAGCCTCCTACTACTTTGAGAGTCTCTTCAAGGCTCCTTTTGAGAAGAAAAAGCCATGCTGGACTGCCGTGGTGGGGAAGGTGTGAGGAGCAAGGACCGCTGCATGTGACCGGTGGTGTGCATGCAGCTGTGATTGCTGGGGGTGTGCTTAACCTTACTGATACTGCCTCGTGGATGGGATATGATTTGCCTTCCAGTGTGGTTCACGGGCTCAGAAGAGAAACCCGATGTGGGTGGGAACTATAGCACATGTGTTGTGTCTCAGTCCGCCTTTGCAGAGGGATGGTGCCGCATGGTAAGCGAGGAGCTAGGCTTCTCATCTGGGCAACGCAGCCCTGGATCGGATCCATGCCGCGGATAACACGAGGCCAGGATCTATCACCAGAGCAAGCGCATCTTCTGTTTTATGCAATTTCCCTGTGAACAGATGGCTGTGTTGGCTGCAAACCATCCATTAAAAAAAAAAAAATCAAAAATTATGCTGCAATGAAATAAAGCTACTCAGCTGTGTTGCTGTATGGATTTCAAACACTGACTATATAAGAAAACCGAAGATCCTTTGACATTAACAGTGTACTTCTTGCTCTCCAGCCATTGCAGAAAGGCAATCTATCTGCAAGGGAAGTACATATGCCAGTGTGATGGCATTAAAAATACTCATGTCTTCAGTATTTATACTAAAGGTAATAAATTCCCGGTACTTCCTAATAAGCCAGTTTCTTCAAGTACCAGTGTATATATGTTCAACAACAGACCACTGTTTCCAGTGCTTACTCTGTATACTGGAACAACATAACTTTACCCATTTGAAAAAATTACTTGTGCATTTCAGTCTTGTTGACAAATAGCCTAATACTGGATCCATTGAAAAACAAAATGCAGATCTGTGGCTAAACTGTCCCAATTTATTCATTATTAGAGTTGGAGTCATTAATGCTCCTGTCACATCTTGCATGATGTTTCACATAATCTGTACTCCAAGAGCTTATTTTTAATCCTTTTCTGACGTACAATGTAATGCAGAATCAAATCACATGCAGCACTTCAATTGTGCTTTAATCACTGAGGAACTTGGAGAGGGAACATGCACATGCTGAGTGTAATGAACTGCACTGAGTGCAAGTAGGAATACTGCTCACTCTACGAGTGAGTAAAAAAGGGGGGTTTTTTGGTACCTTTTCTTTGCACTGAGAACGAGATGTTTGCATTAGGCTCTCTGCCTGGTTTTGCCTTTTTAAGGAACCATAGCACTAAATTATATGCCCAAATGACACTGTCTGGCACAAAAAGACTTGCCTTGCTTGGATATGAGATTCCTCATTAAAGACTGATGTCTGAGTAAGGACAAAATCAACTTGTGCAAGGATTTAGTCTCGTTCTTTGACTCAGGGCTAACCACAATCTGGTTTTGAGTACCGTGCCTGTACTGAAGGACTGACTGTAGTTCATATTTAATCACTGGGACTGTCTTACACAGGACTAGATTTTTTTTACCTGAATGTAAAACAGTAGCTCTTATGAACATCTGTCTCCAGTAGATTTATGTGCAGACATCTTGGAACAACATTTATAACACTTAGAGGTCTTTTAATCAGTACCATTTAAACTCTGTTAACTAACATTAAAAATGAACTGCTGCTAGTGCAATCACACATGGCTACGAAGTATCATCACTAGAAAGTCTCTGCAGAAAAAGTTTTGCTGTTTGTAACTGTTTTCTGCACAA